ACGTGATGAAGGAAGACATTTTTGAGCTTTTTAAGGAGTTTCATGAGTTTGGATCTTCTATTGGATCTTTAGACTCCTTCTTTGTAGTCCTCATTCCAAAAGTTGAGGGGGAAAAACATTAAGGATTTTAAACCTATTAGCTTAATTAGGAGTGTTTATAAATTCATTGCTAAAGTACTGTTTAGGAGAATGACTAAGGTGAGGGATAGAGTGTTGGGCAAGTGTTAGTATACTTTGTGGAAGACAGATAGACTCTATATACAGTTCTTGTTGCTAATGAGATTGTGGATGATTTGCTTCAGAAGAATAGGAAGGGTGTTCTATGCTAGTTGGATATGGAAAAAATCTATAATCATGTAAATTAGGGCTTTCTTGATTACATGTTGAGGAGACCTGGATTTAGGGACAAATGGTGCAAGTGGATAAATTCATGTATCTCTGTGATCTCTTTTGCAGTCATAGTGAGTGGGGCCCATCATTGTTTTTCAAAGCCTTTAGAGGCGTTAGACAAAGTGATCCTTATCCCCTCTGCTATTTGTAGTTGTTGTGGAAGCGCTTAATAACATTTAGTCATGGTGAATGGGGGCTCGTCATTTTTTTGTAAAGCCTCCAAAGGTCTTAGCTAGAGTGATCCCTTGTCCTCCAGCTGCTATTTATAGTTGTTTTGGAAGTTTTCAATAAAATATTATTGAGTGCTAGAAAGTTGGGAGTTGTTTAAAGGTTTAAAGGTTAATGAGAGCGAGCATATGGAGGAGGTAACTCATTTATTTTTTACTGATAACATTTTGTTATTTTGTGAACTAGACGAGAGGATCATGTTCAATTTTAGATGCATTTTGCTAAGTTTACAAGTGGTCTCTAGATTCCAATTTAGCCAAGTCTGAATTGGTGAGACTAGGTGTTGGAAAAGATTCTGTTAGGTTGACTAGAGTTTTGGAGCGTAAAAGCATGGAGTTGCTGATAAATACTTGGGAATACTGTCGGAGGTTAAATATAAAGATGTGGTAACTTGGGACCATGTGGTAACGAGGTTTCATGGAGATTAACGGGATGGAAGAGAAATCTCGCTTCTAAAAGAGGGAGACACATTCATAAAAAGCATGATGACCAATATTCACATTTATTACATGTCCTTTTTGATAATCCTTGCGAGTATAGCCAAGAGATTGAAATTAATTTAATGTAGGTTATCATGAGGCGACTTGGAGGATAGAAAAACTATCACCTAATGGCATGAGATAAGGTTAAATAGCCTATGTATCAATGAGGTTTGGGTTTGAGATCTTGGGTGGAGGTGAATTTAGCTCTACATGAGAAGTGGATTTGGATATTCATGAATGAAAATGGTTATTTGCAATGGAGGACGATTGAGACGAAGTTTGGGATCGTGGATAGACAGTGGTATACCAGATTATTAGCTAGATCTAATGGAAAGGGGATTTGGAAAAAAATATGCATGGTTGAGAATAAATTCTAGGATTGCATCAGCTGAAGAGTTGAGAATGGGAATATAATTAGTTTCTAGCATGATGCTTGATTAAGAGGGGGGTTAATTAGAGAACAACTCTCCCAGATCTGTGCTATTGCACGACACAAGAACATCTCGATTTACAAGTCTTATAGGGTTATCAGGAGAAAAGGGGCATGACATGTAGAAGTTATGAGAAATCTCAATGATTGAGAAATAAATGACTATAAGACTCTCCTCTAAACCCTTTCTAACACTACAATTAGTGGGAGTAACGATCAATCAATTTGGAGAATTGATGCTAGAGGATCTTTCTCGGTTAGGTATTTCTACAATCATATGTAGAAGGTTAACGCTCCAACCGGAGTTGTTTTCTTTATGTGGGAAACTAGTCAAGAGTATATTCTTACTCTTAACAAGCCGATTAGGATGAGAAAAATGTAGGTGAGTGGATATTTTTTATATAAAAGGGAGACAAAGTCGTATAATCACATTCTTCTATGGTATTTGTTTGTGTATAAATTGTGAACCTTGCATTATGTTCTATTGAGCCTCAGTTAGGTGATGGTTCTGTGAGAGAAGAAATTTAGGCATGAAAAGGAATTAGCGGAGGGAAGAAACGTGTTAATTTCATTCCCCTTGTTATTTTTGGGTAATATGGAAAGAGAAAAACAAGAGAACTTTTGAGGAGGTGGAAGATGAATTTGGTAGAGTTAGAGATTAATGGCTATAAACTTTGAGTTTTTTGTTTATGGATCATCCTCTTTATTCAATGAAGAATTTGACGGAACTTATTGATATTTTGATTGACATGTAAATATTTTTGTACATGGGTTGACATCCTTTTAGTACTTGCGAATGAATCTTACCATACTTTTAATTAAAAAAAAATGTTATTACTGTATTCTAGATAGATTATAAATGAAGAAAAATTATCAAAGTTTTAAGTACTTTTTGAGTGAAGAGATCATTTTATTCTCTTTACGAGCCCGTATATTCCATTAAAGATAGAGAAGTGAAGGAAAACTAAAAAACATTTAAAAATTCCTACTGATGTCCATGTTAATTATTCCATAATTAGATCCATCAGTAGGGACTTTGCAAAAGTATGGGTTTAACAGGAATGAACATGACTGTTATTTGGGGTATCTTGACTCGTAGGGGCCCTTAGAAAGCCATTTCCCAGTTCATGAGCTGCTAATTCCTTTACTGTGGTGAGCAATGTGGGCTTGTACTTTGGTTTGGTAAGATATTTGGAATGGTAGTCTTCCAATTAGTCGCCCGTTACCTCACCTTTATTACCTTTCCTCACACCACAAAAGATCTATTTGTCATTTTGTCAATCATCTGGACAGTTACACCTAATGAAATTTATTATTTTTCATAAATCTAGTTTCCTAAGCCCAGGATTTAATTTCTTTGCTTAATCTCCTCGGGCATTTTATTCAATCCTCTCATCTGTACTGCAGAGTTTGGATTTGGACTCTTCAAGCCTGTCCACTAGTCAATCTCTCTTTATCTGTCTCATTCAAAATCTCAATTGCCACAATGAGGTTTTCATTAGCATTGTTTTTGGAAGGCCAAAGTTTCTTTAAAGGTTAAGGTTCTTGTCTAGACTGCTTTGTGAATAAACTTAGCACTAATGATCTGTACCAAGTTTGCAAGCCTAATAATATATCTCTAGATGTGTTTCTTATGTGCTACAAAGAGGCTGAGTGTCGTCTCCATCTGTTTTTTGCATTCTGGAGTGGCTTGCGGACGTCAATCTACTATTTTTGTCACTTCTGGTTACATGTCAGTTGCCCCTCTTCCCTTTAGGATTTCCTTTCTGTGACCCTTAAGGGACGTAGTTTGAAGAAGGGCCAACTTGCTGTAGAGAAGAGCTCTTTTTGCTGGTTTGTGGGAGTTATGGCTGAAGTATAATGCTAGATTGTTCCGGAACAGTTAATTACCTCAACCTTTTCTTTGGGATAGATTGACTTTCTCCAACAAGGCGCATGGGCTTTTTTAAAATATATTTTTGACTAGTTACAGAGAGATTGGAAGCAGTCTTGCATTGAATTTTATGTATTCTTTTTTCCTTTTTCCATTTTTAAGCGGATTCCTTATCCTTTTCTGCCATACCTTTTTTCTTTTCTTTCTTAAAATACTTACTGTTTCTATTAAAAAGGGATGTTAGTTGTAATGTTTTCAGGTAATTGGAGACGTGCCTATGTATCTCTTAGGCATCTTGTTGATCATCTTACTTCAAGGGATGCTTCTAAGAAGAGAGATTTTGTTGCAAAGTCTAGTAATGTATTTCCGCAGATTATTTTGTCAAATTATTTAGAGGGGCATCTCTCTAATAAGTCAAATGTCAAGGGATTTCACTGGAGTGGAGCCACTGATTTAAAGACATCATTGCAGTTTCAGGGAGGCTTTGTCCAGGTTAACAACAATGTTGAGTCTCATGCTTCCAGTATGCTTATTTCAACTTTAACAACATCTGAACTTAGTGGCTTTGTTGAGCCCCTTGAAGAGTTGTATGAGTTAGCAGGATTAACCGGCATCCAGAAGACACAGATCCTAGCAATCATAGATCTTCTTAACGAAGTTAGTAATTCTCAGTCTGCTTCTGCCTATGCAAATCTTGATGAACCTGGGCGAAGGTACTTCTGCTGTTCAACTAAAAAAGGTTCTAATTAGTTCCCAGTTCCTTCATTTTCAATTTTTCTTTCATTGACCAACACTGGGTAGAACAATTAATCAATAAGCTGCTGAGGAATTTGGGTCAAGAGTGCATTATTTTGAAGGCATATTAACCATTACAAAAGTACAGATCTGGAAACCCAGTTCTGCAAGCCAAACTCTTTTAAGAACAGCATATAACCCTCTTGTGCCTTTCTTATAATATTTTTCGTCTTCTATACATTTTTTTTGAAATAAAAGTATGAATAAGTATTATTCACAAAGGTACCAAAGGAGGTACCACCCGTATGCAAAAATATTTACAATTCCATAAGTGATGAATGACATGCCCAAAATCTTCTTTTCGTCTCCTGTACATAAAAAATATTATTCTAGAGTTCAAACATTAAATGGTTAGTATTTACTTTCTAAAGAAACTTTTAGCCAATTGTAATTTTCATTTGCGGATTCAATAACTCCAGACTTGGGATCATTCAATTGGATCAAAAATTTTCATTTCTTTTCTGAAAAACTGCTTGGGAAAAACTTGGAATCATAATATGTTGGAGTTAAATACTGTTTTCAGCAAACAAATGTGCAAGTGGTTTGTCTGATCACAAATATTGTAACTGTCTTGTCTCTTGAAATATATTTTGCTTACATTTGACCTGTTCTGGATTATGTTTATCAAAACTGTTCTTTTAGTTTTTTGAATTGGCACTGGTTCTGTGCTTTTCCCTGTGCTCTCTTCCTTAAATATATAAATTTTCGTTCTCTGATACCAGAATTTTACTTTTTTTGAAGGTTTTGGGTTGCATTGAGGTTTCAGCAGCTATATTTTTTTCGAAGTTTTGGTAGATTAGCATCTGGAGAAGAGTTAGTTATTGACTCAAGTCTTATGGGATGTGCCTTCCACTCAGACTCTCAGGAAACCTTATTTTTGTCCTGTCTACCAAATGAACCATCATGGAAAGAAATGCGAGCTTTGGGAATTGGATTTTGGTTCACTAATGTGACACAGTTGCGTTCAAGGGTAAAATCTGGGGCTGGTGTTAATTACTCCTGCATCATATACAGACTACATGCATAGTGTGTTCTATTTTAGTATGCATTGGCCCTGTAGCAGTTACATGATAACTGAATTGCTAGTTCTGCAAAGCACCATTTTTTTCTGGCTATAGACACTTAATAAGATGATTGACCTGTTGATCTTATATAAAATAAATTAGTTGGCTTTCATTCAAGGAATGGATTCACCTCTTCTGTAAACTGAGTCATTTGGGTCTCTAAAACTAGCACTAATGCTTGGGTAAAAAAATTCAACTACAGTAACTTGTTACCTCCGTATTGTCCATTCTGAAAACTGTGGATGTTTGGGTTAGGGATTTATTTTTTAGGTTGGCAACTCATTTTAGGGATGAACCTCCACCTATTCCGTAAAAAATATTGATTGCCTTTGTTAAGTCATTAGCATTTAGGTTTGCTGAAAATAGTATGTCAATGATTCAACATTTTGTTGCTCCCGTCTTGCAATAAGGAAGACAGTATGTTGGTCTAAGCTCATCATTTCTAGTCTAGCATGATAACAGAAAACCTATTTTCCTTTCTAGGTTACAATTTTTTTTGTGGCTGGGTTACCGTCTGTATTAGTTATGTGCATTTCATTTAGTATCACATCATTTTGTATCTTATCTACCTGCTCCATTTGTCACAAAGATATGGTACTCATGTACCTTTTAAATGATGTGTAGACTAACTATAAGGCAGTTCTGGTTTTGTGTTTTTTCTTAATTTCTTTACTTAGATGGAGAAACTAGCTAGGTTGCAATATTTGAAGAAGAAAGATGCAAAAGATTGTGCACTCCTCTATATAGCATTAAATAGACTTCAAGTTTTGGCTGGTCTTTTTAAGATCAGCAAGGATGAGAAGGATAAGGCCTTGGTGGGATTTCTTTCACGCAATTTCCAGGTATTTCCCAAAGCTATTTCTAACAACTATTCTTTTATTTGTTGTAATATGTCATATATAGTTCGGAAGTACTTTCATTCAAGGATCTTCTGTAGAAGAAGCTGAAAATTGACACTGATTTGAATTTATTTTCTTACTCTAGCTCAAAGTTCCTTCACTGTATGTAGCTATGCCTTATTGTTGAACATATATGAATAAATGATTTCCAACCTGTTTTCTTCTGTTATAGGAGGAGAAAAATAAAGCAGCTGCTCTGAAAAATGCTTATGTCCTAATGGGCAGGCATCAACTGGAGATGGCTATTGCTTTCTTTCTGCTTGGCGGTGACGCTTCTTCTGCAGTATCTGTTTGTGCAAAGAATCTTGGGGATGAGCAGCTTGCGCTAGTAATATGTCGACTCATTGAAGGAAGAGGTGGATCATTAGAGAGTAATTTAATTACAAGGTTTATACTCCCGTCTGCAATTGAGAGAGGCGACTATTGGCTTGCGAGCCTTCTTGAGGTGACTGCAACATGAATTTTCAAACATCCATTTTTTTTATCAATAGTATATTTCTCAGCTTTTGCCGTCTCAGATGTTGACTCTTAGTTACTAATGGTTTGCAGTGGGAACTGGGAAATTACTCTGAGTCGTTCTTTACCATGATTGGTTTGCACGGTAGTCATAAAATGGAGATGCCCACTCTTTCTTCTAGTCATGCTGGGTTTATGGACCCTAGCATTGGTCTATATTGCCTCACGCTGGCAAACAAAAATAGCATGAAAAATGCTATAGGGGAGGGAAATGCTGCAACTTTGGGCAGGTGGGCGACCTTGATGAGAGCTATTGCCTTGAACAGATGCGGGCTTCCTGTAAGTTATACACTGCTATAAGTTAATAATTAGTGTTAGAATATTGTAGAATATTTCTTAACATAATAGTATGGGTACGTTTCCCAATATGTAAGCTTAATTAGGAAGAAAATTATTGGGGTAATTTATGTTATTTATCATATATGAATCCATCTACATGTATATATATTTCTACTTTTGTTTCAATAAAACATAAGAAAATATTCAGTATTTTTTTTCTTAATTCTTACATGGTATCAGAGATAGGGTTAGGGTTTTAGGAGTTAAATTTTATCAGACCAAAAGAAGGGTTAAACAATCCATTCCCGGTGTCGGAGGAAGTTGACCAGCGATCTCCGGCCAGTTCAAAGTGCAGCCATCACGGTGGTGTACGCAGGAGAAGCCGAAACTGTGGTTTGCACGGCGGAGTAAGGTTGTGTGTGTCGGGTTTGCCGGAGGAGTGTATTTCTGAGCAGTTTGCTTTCCCATTCGAGGATAGAAGCAACAGAGGGGCTCGGTTGACCAACTCTGTGCACGAAACCAGAAGGCCGAAGAAAGAAAAGGCGCTGCGAAGCAAATCGCGCGACAGGAAGTGATTCTTTGCTCTTCGGCCCAATTTCGGCTGTTTCGACGAGCGCCATTCCAGATTAGGGTCAGCATTGGAGTTCTGTGGTGATTTCCGGTTGAAAGGAGGCTGTTTGGTAGTTTCAGACGGCGGCGCGTATAACTTCAGCAGCGGCACAGATCTCCGGTGGTTGACAATGAGGTTCTGGTAGGGTTGTTGATACTCGCACGTGAAGAAGTACTCTGTTTTCTCAAATTTTCTGATATATTTGCAATCTTTTGGATGTATCTCTAGCAGCTGTATTTGGGTATTTTTGGGTGATAATTTGTGGATATTCTCAAGTTAAGAATGAGTAATAACAAGTTTTCAGAGAGTGAGATAGTTTCGGTCATGTTAAAGATCACTGAGTATAAATTAAATGACACAAATTATCTAGAGTGGAACAAAACTATTAGGGTTTATCTACACAGTATTGATAAGAATGGTCACTTGACTCAAGACCCTCCTATTGATGGAACTAGACAAATCTGGTTAAGAGATGATGCACGGTTGTTTCTGCGTATCAGAAATTCGATTGACAGTGAGGTAATTGGCTTAATTAATCACTGTGAGTTTGTTAAAAAACTGATAGATTATTTAGAGTTTCTGTATTCAGGCAAAGGAAATGTGTCCCGCATGTATGATGTTTGTAAAGCTTTCTATTGTATTGAGAATGAGACAATCTCTCACAACCTAATTTATGGAATTTAAAAAGACATATGAAGAGATTAATGTACTTTTGCCGTTCAGTACTGATATCAAGATACAACAAACACAGAGAGAACAGATAGTCATAATGAGTTTCTTGGCTGGTCTTCCATCTGAATTTAAGACTGCTAAATCTCAAATTTCATCTGGTTTAGAAATCACATCTCTTCAGGAAGTTTTCAGAAGAGTGTTACGCACAAAGACCACTACACCTAATCAGCATACTAATGTTCTTATTACTAAAGGAGGAGGAAGAAATGATAACAAGGGAGGAAACAGAGCAATAAATAGTCGGTATAATGATTCAAGTAATATTGTTTGCTATTACTGTCATGAATAAGGACCTATGAAGCGGCAATACAAGAAATTACAGAATCGAAATCAAAGAACACAAACTGCGAATATTGCTACTGTTGCTACTGCTAGTTCCTCTTCTAAGAAAACTATTGTGTTTTCAGCCGACGAATATGCAAGATTCCCTTAATTTTAAGAATTTTTGAAAGACCGCACACCAACCATTATGTCTGCTGAATCAGGTAAAAGATGTTTTATCTTCTCATCAAACAAATGAGTGATTATTCTGGTGCTACTGATCACATGACATGTAACTTTAATATCTTCTCTAGCTTTCGATCACACAGAGCATCATCTCTTATAACTATTGTTGACGGGTCAGCGTATAGTATTGAGAGTTCTGAGACTATAAAACCAACTTCTGCCATTACGTTGACCTCTATTTTAAGTCTATCCAAATTTGCTTTCAATTTGATTTCTGTAAATAAATTTATCAAAAATTTTAATTGTTGTATTTCATTCTTTCCTGATTATTGTCTTTTTCAGGATCTTATGACGAAATAGATTATTGATAAAGAACATGTATTAGAAGATCTTTACATTCTTGATAACTGGGTGCCTCGATCAGTTATCTGCTTTAGTATTGTTTCTCCATTTGAAGCACATTGTCAGTTGGAACATTCATCTCTCACTGTGTTAAAGAAATTGTGTTCTCAGTTTAATGATATATTTTCATTAGATTGTGAGTCATGTCAGTTTGCAAAATATCATCATAACTCGTCAAGTCTAAGAATTAATAAACGAGCTAAGTGTACTTTTGAATTAGTTCATTTTGATATTTGGAGTCCATTTCTTGTTATGTTTAAAATAGGGTTGAAGTATTTTGTTACTTTTATTGATGATTTTTCTCGAGTGACTTGAATATATTTTATGAAAAATCGTTTTGAAGTGTTTGTTCATTTTTGTACTTTTCATGCGGAAATCAAAACTCAATTTAATGTTTCTATGCATGTGCTAAGAAATGATAATGTTAAAGAATATATGTCAAACTCATTTCAGAATTATATGACTTAATATGGGATTTTTCATCAGTTCTCTTATATTGATATACCATCCCAAAATGGGGTTACTGAAAGAAAGAACAGACATTTATTTGAGATTGCTCGAGCCCTCTTGTTTCAGACAAAAGTTCCTAAACAATTCTGGACTGATGTTGTATCCACTACTTGTTTCTTGATTAAGTGTCTACCGTCTGCAATACTTGAATGTGATATTCCTTATAGTATTCTTTTTCCAAATAAGACATTGTTTTCGGTACAGCCGTGGATATTTGGTAGTACTTGTTATGTTTGAGATGTTCGACCAAATATTAATAAGTTGGATCCCAAATCCTTTAAATGTGTCTTTTTGGGATATTCTTGCCTACAACAGGGATATCAGTCTTACTTTTTAGATCTCAATAAATATCTAGTGTCAATAGATGTAGTCTTTTCAGAGAGTATATCGTTTTTCTCCTCACAGTCCAGCTCTACAGATCGAGTGAATGATGATTAATGGCTCATTTATAAATTCTAGAACAGTATCTTTACATAGCAACCAGATAATGGTAGTTTTTCTGATGTGTCTTCTGAATAAACTGATGATGGTGTGCCTCCAACTCAAGAATAACTGCTCATTATTCATGTTTATTTCAGAAGACAATAGACTAATGATACATATGCTGCACCAACTTCTTCGTCGTCTGATCCTTCCACCAATAATCTTGATCTTCCCATCAGTTTTCGTAAAGGTACACGTCAGTGCATCCTTCCTCATTCTACTTATCCTATTGCTAACTTCACTTCATATGATCATTTGTCTCATTCGTCTAGTTCTTTAATTGCTTCTATAGATTCCACTTCCATATGCAAAACAGTTAAGGATGCTCTGAATCACCCTGGTTGGCATAATGTCTTGTTTGAGTAGATAAATGCTCTTGATGATAATCATACCTAAGATCTGATAAATTTGCCCAAAGGAAAAAAGGTAGTGGAGTGCAAATGGGTATTTACGGTTAAAGTGAATGCAGATGACTCTATGACGAGACTTAAAGCTCGATTGGTAGCAAAAGGTTATGCTCAAACTTATGGGGTAGACTATTTTGATACATTTTCTCCAATGGCAAAACTAACATCTGTTCGTATATTCATATCTATTGTAGCTTACAAAGACTGGCCCTTGCAATAAGTAGACATTAAAAATGCATTTCTTCATGGTGATCTCTTAGAAGAAGTGTATATGAAGTAACCACCTGGATTTGTTATTCAGGGAGAGTATAGGAAAATTTGTTATTTGAAAAAATTCTTATATGTTCTAAAGCAGAGTCCCCGTGCGTGGTTTGACAAGTTTAGTGAGATAATATGTGAATTCAGATTGAGAAAGAGCAAGTGTGATCATTCAGTCTTTTATAAACAATCAACAACTGGTATTATACTTTTTTTTGTTTATGTTGATAATATTATAATTATAGAAAATGACCATATAGGAATATTCTCTCTCAAATCATTTCTGCATACCAAATTCAATACTGAAGACTTGGCACAATTAAATTATTTCTTGGGAGTTGAAGTAACAAAAATAAGGAAGAGATTTTGTTATCTCAGAATAAGTATGTACTTGATCTACTTGCAGAAACAAGAAAGCTGGGAGCTAAGCCATGCAATAAGCCTATGGTACCAAATGTACATCTTACAAAAGATGATGGTGATCTCCTTGATGATCCAGAAAAATACAGGTGACTTATTGGGAAATTGAATTATCTCACTGTGACTCGTTCAGATATTGCATATTCTGTCATGAAAGTCAATTTATGTCTATACCGATCGTTAAACATTGGGAGGTTCTGGAACAGATTCTGTGCTTCTTAAACGGTGCCCCAGGACTCGACATAATGTTTAGAAATCACGGACATATTCACATTGAATGTTTTACAGATACTGATTGGGCTGAATCGAAGATTGATAAGAGCTCTAATACGGGTTATTATGTTAGTGGGAATCTCGTACCATGAAAAAGTAAGAAGTAAACAGTTGTATCTCGCTCAAACGCAGAGTCTGAATATAGAGTTATGGCCCAGTCCACATGTGAATTCTTATGGATACATAATCTTTTAGAAGAAGTGGGTTTGAATCCCACATCTCCTACAAAACTTTGGTGCGATAATTAAGCTGTCCTTCATATTACCTCAAATTCTTTGTATCATGAGAGAAGCAAACATATCGAGATTGATTGTCACTACATTCGAGAAAAGATTCAGAAAAACTATATATCTACTGATTATATGAAGACAGGAGAACAATTTGGTGATATATTCATAAACCCTCTGAATGGAACACGGATTGAGTATTTTCGGAATAAAGTGAGTATGATTAATATCTATGTTTCAGTTTGAGGGGGAGTGTTAGAATATTATAGAATATGTCCTAATATAATAGTATGATTATGTTTCCAAATATGTAAACTTAATTAGTAAGAAAATTATTAGGGTAATTTATATTGTTTATTGTATATGAATCCGTGTACATATATATATATCTCTACTTTTGTTTTAATAAAATATAAGAAAATATTCAGTATTTCTTTCCCTAATTCTTACAAGTAGCAAAACATATGCTGGATTATTCATGTGTTATAATTGAGCTTGTTGTTTAGTGTTTTTCTTGTTCACTACAGAAGTACTAATGCATCTTATCACTTCAGTATAGTTAGTTCACAGCAGTAAGTAACCAAAACTGCCAGTTGTGGGTACATATCATGTGTGACATATCTGCATGAATCACATAGTTCAGTCAATTATAGTATGGTTATTGGAGGATTTTATCAGGAGAAATTGGACTGATTGTATACTGTCTGCTTAAGGGTGCAATCCATGGACCCAAATTTTCTG